AAACCCAACGAAGCAAATTAACCATGTACTCATAATATAAAATTGTCAATGTCCTTCTATCGTATTCAAAAAGTTTATTCTTGTTTTTCTTGTTCTATTAATATACTTGCTCCACCATGAGTAGCTGCAGATGCCAATTTGTTCTCACTACAAATTCAGCTTTCTATTAGGTGATGTTTTTGAAGGTTATGATCTTATAAACAACTTACCCTTTTCCACAAAAACACTTTAAAATAATGTACCACTTGGAGACACACAAGATACACGCTACACGTACAGACATGGAATAAAACAAAATGGAAGCCGGAAAGCGAGTTGGCTTGCCACTACACGACTGGTCGCTCGAACACACGCATACCTGTATGCACTATAGAACGAAAAATTCACCTGATGGATTCTGAATGTGCTCAGCACGTACCAGAAATATCCCTACTTATTACCTGGTGGAATGTTACTGTCCCGTGCAAATTGGGTTTTGTATCGACATGTGCTAAAAATGAATATTCCTCGCATGTAAACAAATGGACATCCATTATGTGAATATGGTATGATAATAATCATATTAGACGAAAATACTCCTGGTTTGCGAAATTATTGTAAAGTCTGATTTTATGGCTGCAAGTTGTTCAAGGGGGTATTCAAAACATGGACGCATAAAATGGGTACATCAATTTTTGTGGAAAAACTTTCTATTCGACAACAAAGAATGAGCAAACGTTGTTTTTAGAATTCAATCGAAAGTGTTTACAGGAGCGAAAAACTCTTCATATAAGATTTTTAGGTATTTATGAGACCTACAAAATGAGACCACAGGTACAAAGATCCGACTAATAGCAATAGCTAAGCTGAATGACGTAAGCTGCAGCGCCAGCGTAGCTAGAGGCTGCCCTCAGGGCGGAGTTCTGTCACCCCTACTGTGGTGCATCGTGGTGAACGAACTCCTAGTTAGGCTCAGCAGTGTGGGTGTCTACGTGCAAGCCTATGCTGATGACGTAAGCATAGTAGTTAGGGGACGTTTTTGTAGAACAGTCTCGGAAATTATGCAGGGCGCTCTGCGCTCTGTGGAATCGTGGTCTAGGGAAGTCGATCTTTCTGTTAATGCTGAAAAGTCCGAGCTGATCCTATTCACTAGGAGAAGAAGGCTTGACGGGCTGGTCATTCCGACCTTCTTTGGGACTAGATTAATTATATCCCAATCAGTAAAATATCTGGGAATTATCCTGGATTGCAAACTGAACGGGAGAGAGCATGTTGAATATAAGGTTAGCAAGGCTCGCAATTCATTGTGGTCCTGTAGACGTGTTGTCGGTGTCAGGTGGGGGCTTAAGCCCAAAGTGGTATACTGGCTCTACACGACGATAGTACGTCCATCTCTCTTGTACGGCTCCCTGGTCTGGTGGCCTTGCATTATAACTGAGACTACTAAGGCCAAACTCAATAAAATTCAGCGTTTCGTCTGCATTAGTATTACAAGCGCAGTGCAAACAACGCCATTGAGTGCTATGGAAGCTCTGTTGGATCTCCCACCGTTGGATCTGGTGATCCGCGGTGAAGCGAGAGTAGTCGCTTATCGACTGTGGAGTCAGGGCAGCTGGGCTTTCTTGAATCCTGACAAGGGGCATACTGAGTGAGCGGACAGGTCTGGTACAGGGACGGCTCGGTCACCGAAAAGGGTTCAGATGCTGGGGTCTCTGGGCCTAGAACCAGGCAATCTCTGCCTCTCTGTGGATACACCACTATTTTCCAGGCGGAAATCTTTGCGATTCTGGCTTGTGTATCTCACATTCTGGAGAAGGGTGGACCTAGGTGAAGAATAACAATCTTATCCGACAGCCAGGCTGCAATGAAAGCACTAAGTGCCTGTAAGATTACTTCGAGTCTTGTATTGCAATGCAGGGAGGCTCTGGATTGCCTCGCAGCGAGGCATCCGGTATCGTTAATGTGGGTACCGGGGCACGCTGGGATAAGGGGCAATGAGACGGCGGACACTCTGGCGAAGATAGGTTCAGCCAGCAAGCTCGTTGGTCCTGAGCCAGTTCTAGGAGTGACCGCGCATAGAGCTAGGAGGAAAATGGAGACGTGGGTTGCAAGACAACACTCTCAGAAATGGAGAAGTATATCCAGACATCTCCGCCAGGCACGGGAACTCATTTAAGGGCCCAGTGCTAAGGATGGACGTTTCTGTCTATTTCTGGATAGAGCCAACCTAAGGTTGCTGGTGGGACTGTTGTCTGGCCATAACATGTTAAGGCGCCACCTGCACGTGATGGAGGTGGCTGAGGATCCCTTGTGTGAATGCTGCGGGGTAGAGGAAGAGATCTCGGTGCACGTGTTGTGTCGCTGTGAAGCTCTGAGCTACTATAGGCAGACTATACTGGGGTCCATTACTTTGGACCCTCAGGACGTCAAGGAGCTTTGACTCAAGGCGATTCTCAACTTCGCTAAAAGGGCGAGGCTTGTGATCTAAGGAATGTAGAGGTGCATAAGGGCCCGCGTAAGCGGCCTATGCACTGGCTCCTTATGGTAGCCGGAATGCCTCTAACTTCAAGATTCATTCATTCAACAGCAAAAATGTTATGGCCGAAAAACGAGGCAAAATGCAGATTTTGGCACTTGTTGGTAATTCAACGATGGTTTCTCGCAGATATTTGAGATTCTTCATATTCGTAGGATTCGTACTTCCAAATAACCACAACAGAATTGGAGTAGATTGGTCAAGTAGTTTTTTAGAATTCCTAATAGTTTTCCCGAAACCCCTGTTTTCCGGCCACCACTACTAGTTTATTTAGCAATATACAGGGTTAGTTCAAAGGGCATTTTATAGCAAAATTCATTAGTTTACCTAGCCAATATAAATCGCAAGCCATTGCGGAAGATAAATGATTTTTATGCTATTTGTGAGTAATTCGCAACAAAAGATGATAGACACATCCGCTTTGGTTTAAGATGTGTTTAGTAAGTTATTTGTTGCGAATATCGTAGCGCGTTTGTTCAATTGCTCACAAATACGAAATGTTTGAATTTGTTTAGATGAAAAAAACGTAGCATAAAAATAACATTTATCTTTCGGAATGGGTTGTGATTCATATTGGCAAGGTGAACTACTAGTGTATTTTGCTATAAAATGTTCTTCGCACGAACCCTGTATATTACTCAATAAACTAGTAGTGATCGCCGGAAAACAGGTGTTTTGGGATAAGAAATTATCGTCGCATCACCAACAAGTGCCAAAACCTGCCCTTTGCCTCGTTTTTCGGCCATAACAGTTTTGCTACTAGTCGGATCTTTTTACCTGTGGTCTCATTTTGTAGGTTTCTAAGAATCTTATAAGCAAAGTTTTTTCGTTCATGTCAACACTTTCCAATGAATCTCAAAAAAACATTCTTTGTTCTTAAATAAAAAGTTTTCCCAAGTGTAACCATTTTGTGCGTCTATGTTTTTAAATACCCCCTTGAGCAACTTGCACCAACAAAACCAGACTTTGCTATTATTTCTGTAAAATTTGCTAATATAATTAGACTATGAATATTAGACTATGAGCTTAAAAACACGTTCGTCAATATGCTTTTAAGGGATGTAAACAATAATGTGTTGCAAAAATGCTCATTAGCATATATGTTTTAGTATCTAAAACGTATATTTCAAGAATGTGAATATAGCTTTTCATGATGATTGGGCAGAATGAATTCACGTTTGGTAAACAGAAAGATTATAGTACTTGCGCTATTTGAGGACACTTCAATTTTCAGTACGTTGGAATTTATTAGAATTTATGTAATGAATTACCCTTGCTATTAATGCAAAGTATCAAAATCGAACAAATGGTAACCATTAAAAAGTATCAGCAGATTTTGGAACAGCAGTTGGAAGTAGTTTATGTTACTTTAGGATTGATTTTGTTGGAAGCTTAGAGATATCTATCCTATTATAGTTTCCTAGTTTTTTGTAGAAATTCTCAGTTTAAGATTATGCTATAATAAGCAGCAGATAGCAAAAGCAAAGAAAAAATAGGTAATCGAGTCGCGTGCGAGGATTTTTGACGAACACTCAACATGACACATATGAAAACTATTCTCACTTGCTACTATAAACTGTAATCAACAAAACTTTTTGAGTGATTTAACTGCTATTCTAAACAAAAGGAGCATATGGTACGTAATAATGAAAATAAACAGAACATCAGATTATTTATGTATTTTATATTCTGTATTTGTTAGTCCAGTCAACAATGCAGCCAGTGAGTTCAGGCGATTTCAAAACGACAGAGTTTTTTCAAACTTTCAACAATATACATAATTCATGTAAATGGTGGAAGGAAGTCGTTATTAAACTCAGAAAGATGAGCTGATGTGGAAGCTTAATTCAAGAAGACGCTAAGGTTATGAATTTTCTAAACTATGTGAGGAAAAAATACAAAGGATCAACTAACTGGTCTAATTTACGTCATTCTAAATGAGTTTCGACTGTTGAAATTAATTTCGATTGCTCCTTGTGACGAAATACTTGATTCGCTATAATAATTTTGACATCTGCTTATATCAATCTTCTATATTCAAATTATCATAGCATTTTCAAGACTATCATGGCAAATCAAGTATATTGTCGCAAAGTGCTATGGAAATCTATTTCAATCGTCGAAACTCATTTAGAATTATAACATCACAAAGCTTGCTAGGGGCTTATGATGGGACTGAATTACACAATATGAGAAGTCAATGCAATTCAACGTGAAACTGCTCTACTGAACTATATACCGCGATAATAATAACAGATTCCGGCGATTTAAAATCCTTTTAGTTGCAATATAGCTCCCATACAGATTCATGCATTTTATTTATAATGGACAAGTGTCACTTTCTCGTGATATTATCCACAGTTTACTCGTTGCAAGTGACGTGTTTATTTCAAAAATGCTGCGAAGATGACGTTGGTTTTGTGATGCGGAATAACTCTTATGTTTGTGAAAACGACAAAAATGCAGCTTTGGATGATGCAGGCAGCAGTGAACTGTACATTTTTTCAAGTATGTTAACCGCTCAAAGATTCTTTGATACTCCAGAAAATGACCAAAAAGTCGATACACATGGAAGTAAAGTATTTTTTGCGCTTACATCCACCCTCACTGCACCGATTTGAAAAAATATCATTCGACGCCTCATTAAAATCATTTTAGCCGCTTTTGAGATAACACAAAAACCCAACTAACACAACAGGTAACATCATGTTCACTTGCCGCTTTGGGAGGCGGGGGGTAGACATCTTTTGGAAGCGGGAATGACTACTCCGGGCGGTTCTGGGCTTTGCTGGTTTTGCGCGGTGCCATTTCAAAATGAACTGTGCATGTCTGGAATACAAATAAATATATAATAATATTGAGAGCATTCAGCCACCGTTAAAACGGTACAGCGCCAGCGGTGCGGCGCTGTTAAGCTGAATAGCAGTAGCTATGGAACAAATTTGACACTTCACAGCTTAATCAACATACTATCCTGAAGTCTTCATGATACTACCAAATCTGACACCCAAGTGAATACTGCCGTCAGACTGACAAAATTATTCCATGGCTAACGCTAGTTCTATTACAATACCTCTATCGTTATGTGTAGGAAGTAGAGGTACTCGTATCCTGCATTGGTAACTGATATATCAATATTACAGATCATTCCCAGAACACATCATCAAACTGCATAGAGACATTTGAGACAGCCGTTGCTGTCTTCCACCGAACTGGTAATGGCTATAAACATAAGGAGAATATCACAAATCAAGTGATTAGAAAATGTTGTCCTAGGAACTTCTGTTACGACTCCCAAAGACATACTTGTACAAACTCCAGCTTGGGAAGGAATACTTTGGTTTCATTCTCTCCTATTGGGCTCTTCCACTGTTTAGTCATCATGGACTATAAAATATCTTCGACTTCGAACGCCTTCAATGAGATAAATAGAACACATATGTTAGTAAATGACCTTTCTAGAGTTGTGTCAAAGGATAGTATGTGCTTTGATAAAGAGACAAGTGGCGAATATATCATAAGGATTTGTGAAGATTTGAAGATTTGTGAAGCAATGAGGTGTATCCATAAGTGTTGTCCAGATGGACATAGCTTCGTAAATGGATCCAAGTGTGAGAAAACCTGGATTCACGGAATTAATCTAGAATTGTTTTCTGGTGCAGTCGAAGATTTTCAAGGTAGGGTGTGGTAGGGTCTTGTACATTTAGCCATGCATTATTTCTTACATAAAAAAGTACTAAGTAGGTTGCGACCTTATATGTAATACCTCTATATCTAGGATCATTGCGAAGAAGATTTTATCAATTCAGTTCTTTTTTTCAGATAACTTTGCAATAATCCACGGATATTCACCACTCTACCCAATACAGCACTACATGAAATACCGAATAAACTCTAGAGGAACATTTTTCGTATCAGATAGAGATGGTAACAAGACTTATTTAGCATCAGAAAGAAGCTACTGTTTTGAACATGCCACAAAAGGTGGTAGAACACTTGGATACGTATTGTTCAGATTTTTTCCAAATATAGAAGATGTGCCACTAGACACCAAATTTATGGGTAAGAGAGAGATTTAAATGCTAGATTACTCAAGGAAAGGCGCTTATAGTGGGTTCATAAAAATAAGTTCAGCTGTTACCCATACAAGTTCTCAGCCCCCTGTGGTTAGACATAAATGAAAGGCTTATCTAGAGGCAAAGGTGTTCTGTATAGAAAAACCATAACCTTAGGCTTTTCTTCTAGACGTTTAGAAGTCGTGCCGTTTTCAACTACTGTTTGCACCATATGAGACTTTGGATCCTCCAGTTCTTACAAATTTCTTAAGATCCGTTGACTTCTTAAAACTTTTCAAAAAATTTACCTTTGCAAAACCTCAGATTCCATTTATAGGATCTTGTCTTATAGATGGTATGAAAATAACTAGATCTGATTGAAGCAGTATCTGTGTTTGGATGCAAGACCTTAAAATACATGCGTTTACATTAACTACTTTGTTTAAATTCTATGGCTCATTGATGTTGTTTCTCAAATCAATCTAGACAATCATTATTTTCGGCATCAGCGCACGTAGCATATGGGTTCACGGATGATAAATAGCCTAGTTTAGGATGAGACGTATAAAAAGTCATACTATGCATTCGGTCCTATAGTTAGAGGCTAAAAAATCTACAAGAGAAAACTCAAAATTATCTCTAAGACTTTGGTTAATAAGCTTTTCCTCATTTCCTTATCCTGATTTAGCTTTGTTCGAGTTCTACAGAGAACTGCCTCAGAACTGTCTTGATCTTGCGTAACAGGTTTTCGTGATTTCCTAACCACTTTCGATCGGCTACTAGCAGAATCTGAGTGGTTCTGGGATTGTTGCCTGTATAATCCGAATCTGGCTATTATGTTTTATTTATAATTTGTGAATACTAAATCTAACTGTCTTATACATTTTTTTTTAGTCAATAGGTGGGCAATGGCTATTTCTGTAGTTTTCCTACTGATCACAAGTCTATTCTACATTTTCACGAAGGAAACGAGAAAAGTATTTGGGAAATGCTTAGTCAGCTTGTGTTTTTCCCTGTTGATACTATTTGTCATGCTTGCAGCATATATTCCATTCAAAAAGAATTTGTTGGAGAAGAGATATAGCCACGTCTGTAAATCAGTGGGTAAAAACCAGTAACTTATTTAATATTTAGCGTAGTAGCTCCAATCCAACATAATTGTAATTTATTATGTAATAAAAAAGGTGCTATACTCCCCATTTACTGATCAATAGATTAAGTTTGAAGATTTTTTTCATGTCGATAATCTGATTTGGTAGTTATGCCCAATGGCAGTCACTGTACTACCAAGGAATTCAAATAGATTCGAAGGAGTCAAGCCTATATAACATTACTTTGTTTGTCACCAAAATTGCGTAGTTTTAGTGCATACCTTTTACTAAGTTGTCTAGCATTGGCTATTAAAGTGACAACGTTCTATCAAGACAGTGATAGTTATACCGATAATAATATCTGCCTCCACACAAATAGATATTAATATATCATTTTAATTCTTAGGGTTAGTTAGTTACAGAAAGTTAATTCTATATGCAGTCGATTGTGAAAATGGGTCTTATTCACTAAGAACTTATGTTTTTCAGGTTTCCTGATAACGTATCTGAGCTTTAGCTGCTTTATATGGTTTCAAGTATTGTGCTTTGATATTTATAGGACTTTTGGGTGAGATAGATTCATCGCTTGTTTATTTCTTCCCATAATGTAGCCATTTTATGTGTCACTCCGACATACTAACTATATTTTCTTCTTTAATGGTTTTACATTGGTTGCCAATCCAATAAAAATTTACATTCATCATAGTCCATTCGCAAGTTATGTTCTCCTCAGTACATCAACTCAAACCTCACGTGTGTGACATGTATGCATTCACACACATTTTATGTAGTTGGTACCTGTTAACAATTTAAAGGAACGCCAAAAACGATTACGACGCTTAATAACGTGCACCAAATTTCTTAACAAAAAATTTGTTCGTAGAAAGCTATTGGTATTTATAAACCTACTGAAACGTTAATTTGTGTATGTTTCAACTAATATTCGGATTTTTGTCCATGTCCATGTCAATATACTTCATTGTAACCTTGCAAGACACAGACAAGTCCAGTGATCTAGTGACAGATGACGTGAAGCAAACAATGTAATATGGGTCTACTGAAGGGTTGTAGTGCGCAAAAAAAAAGGTGGCGCTGACTATGTTTAATGTATGCAACATAGTACGCCAAGTCTGGTATCATGGCGCACTCTGTCATTCAGAGTGTCGGAAAACTGTGGTTTCCTACTACCGTACGTAGTAGCGCGATTAACAAACGGTCATTTATCGATTATCGGTTCATTTACAAACGATAAATATCGAAAGAAGAAACGATAATTGATAAAACATGTATAAGTATTTTTCACAGCAAAACGACTGTCATGTATCCGAATTTCGAAGTTTCCGGATTATTGCAACGCACCTTCAAAGATCAAGAAACTTAAAAACAAAGAATCCTTTAGGGGCGGCTGGTCGGGGTTAAGGAACGCACGATATACTATACTCTGCGCCGCACTCTCTGCCTTTCAGCTGTTATTTGTTTATTGCAATGTGCGTGCAACGCCACTTGTCACTGTAATTTCATTAGCCTTCATTTCGTTAAAGCATGGAGTAGGAATACACAAATTACAGTGAAAGATCACCATTAAAATTTCTCATTTTCGTTTATCATTAACTGCATGGCTAACGTTGTCCTATCTACCTAAACGGAAGTAAGCTGTTATTTCATTTAATGATAGAGGAAGGCGTATTTTAGTGATTTATCTGTTTAGTCTACCTAGATACCAAAGTGTGTGTAAAAAAATAAGTAATAGTTATAAATACTTGGAAAAATATTTTTATTTGATTTTGAATTTGGTCAATTTATTTAATTTCATTTAGCTGTGCATAGTGAATATAATTATTTTTTTAATATAATTGTAGATTATTTTAGGTAGTAGATAGAGCCCTTTTGCCTATGCTACACCTGAAAAACTAGTTTTTAAGGAAAACCGATAGTTATCGGTCTTTATCGGAAAAAATATAATCTTTTTTATCGATTATCGGAAGAGGTCCACAATATAGAATGCCTTTACTTATAGGTGACAAGGTCACCATTAGTTTTTGTTCTCTACGGCAGTTTACTTTAGTTTGAGTCAATAAAGTCTATCAGGGAGAAAGCAGTTTTTCTCGTGACTTCTTGTTCTATTTGAGATTATTTTCATAATTGTAGTTCTTCCTCGAATCAAATCGTAGTAGATAAAAAGAAAAGGAACATGAGGAGATTCTTATACTTTAGCCTTTACGGCTGGGGAGTACCACTTCTACTGACGTCACTGCCGGCCTTATTTCACTATAAAGATGTTCTACCTGCCCCCATTAGGGTAGAGGTGGCCGTAACTAAATGCATTATTGAAAAAAGTACGTATATATATCCACGATATGAGATTAAACATGAACATGGGAGCTTGCAGTAACAAATTGACTGAAGTATTGATATAATATATATTCAATCAGATATTTTTCTATGAATTATATGAAGAGTATTCCAATTTTTGCTAGTTCCTACCATTGATGTGAAAAGCTCCTCCGGTAGGATAAGATGGCCAATTAATCCAAGAATGTAATGATTTCGAATTTAAGTATTCAAGAAACATATGCACTGATATTTGTAATTTTGTTTATTTTTCCAGGAGATGGTAATTATGCAGAAATTGTGTTTCGTATCATTCCGTTAACAATAATTCAGGTGGCAGATATCATCTTATTTGTAAAAACAATTCGATATTGTCTGAAAGTTAGGAAAGATATCCAAAAATTGAGCGAGAATAACTCGAAAAAGAAGAGGTTTTCTGTTAAACAGGAAAGGTAAGGACAAGCTTACGGTTAACAGCTTTTCACTCATCCGAAAGCGCTAAATTGCCTGAATGTTGTTAAAAGCAACATCTCACTTGCAAACACATATAAATGCTTATTTATTTATATAGGATATATTAAGGATATCAAACAGAAAAAATCAATAAACTAGACATCCACAGAATAGTTATACATACCAAATTATAAGCACTCTTTTATAATCTAAATGTAATATAACGAAAATATGAGCAAATCTGTCATAGCTATTTGATCTATACTGGGATATACAGCGTGGGCCAATAGTCCGTAGACGGAGGATTGTGGCTTTATTTACACATGCTTTTCCTCAATGCCGGGTATTCAGCGTGAGCTCCTAAATTTTTATATAATTTGAGTCTTTAGTTACATGTTTTCCTCCTTTCTAGTAGTTACTTGGTTAAAGTAAACGATACCATTACGTTTTATATGTAAATGTCATGGTCATATCGTAAAATTGAGCATTTTATGAAATTTAATAATATCTATTGACCTGATCCTGTGAGTTGACCAGATCAATGATAACAAATGGCGGCTATTTGATGAAATGGTCACGTATATTTGATCGAACCGTAAAATATTTACATAAATTACTGATAGAGGCCCTGGCAGCGGTTTGTTTACTTTTCAATACGACACTAGTTAATAACGAAGATGTTTTTTGAAGTCAAAATTCTAATAATTCGTTACTCAGTGAGGAAGAAACTGAGATTAAGAAAACTTCACGACGAAAAGGTACTCGAGTTCTCGAGTACTAGCGGGTCTTGCAAGTACCAAAAAGTCGTGGAGTTCGAAACGTGTTTTAGTACTTCAATCTTAAGTTATATTATCATTCATGTATTGAAAGTCAAAATCATGTGCCAGTTAAACTATTGTGTTGGTCTATTGTCTATATTGTTCTACGTATTGCCATGATGATAAAGTAAACCACTCGAAATGAACTGGGAAACTCGAAAACAATAATCGTGCGTAAAACGTGTGCGCGTACGCAGTAGTTGATACCAACTAAACCTAATTTTCACTCGGCGTGCGGCGATGGCATAACTATAATGATGAATAATAACAGCTCTCTCTCTCTCTCTCTCTCTCTCTCACTGCTCCACTAAGTCAGCTCTTCTCGCTCGCTTCCTCGTCGAGCCGATGCCATAAAACAATCATGGCATGAGAGTCCTTTGAGGACAGTAACGACTTGTTCAAACAGGTAATACAAATTCCTTAAAAATCCAGCCTCTGTGGGTGTCATTGTTGTTTCTCTGCATGTACTTCAGATAATTGAACGCTTAATACCTCAAATGAAAGCTTGTTAGATAGAGATATTATTTACATAATTTGCACATTTCATTACTAGAAGATTTTTTACAGAAAATTGCATTTTTTATCGAATAAGTTAGTAAAAACAAAGAAAATGATACATTTAAAAAGCGTAATTTTGAAACGTTTGTAGCTTTTCAACATTTTATTACTTATTATGAACTATTGGAATGTCTGATATGCGACGATAACAAAAAACTCAAAATCAATCATTCAGTTTTTTTGTATTTCAATTTTAACCGTCTGAAATCGGAATAAACAATAAAAAACTTAAAATTCAAATAACTCAAAAATGGTTAACTTTGGATAAGACATGATAGGACAAAATCGGTTGCTTTTGACCTAATCTATCAGCCCTTCACAGGAATACGTGACATTACAAGTCACCTTGTATATTCTATGGACACCCTATTTTACGATATGATCAATCGTGGATAACCAAATCATTAAACTTTGGTGTTTGAACTGAAATGCTCGATCATTTCATGCGAGAGATGTCTGTTAAGTTTTGCATATAGAAACATAGTAGGCCGCGCGGATCGAACGTCAGTACTGAATCTTAACCTCACTCTTTAGTGAACTTAAATTCAAAGTTTCACAACAATACGTGCAGTGTTCTCACTACAGTGAATTTTTAAGTTGCGCCAAGTCATTAGAAAAATGGAACTCAACCGAGAACATTTTCGCGCCATAATTTATTACAACTTTCAGAGACAATTATCGCAACAAGAATGCCTTGCTGAGTTACTGTCTGTTTTCGGCAACGAAGCGCCACATCAGTCGACAATTTCCCGTTGGTATGGAGAATTCAAACGTGGACGGGTGAGTCTTAGCGAAGATCCCAGGGTGGGTGCACCAAAAACGGCAGTCACCCAGGAAAAGGTCGATGGTGTGCGCAAACTCATCATTCAAGATAAACATGTGACATATCGCAAGATTGAGGCGCCCTTGAAGATCTCAAAGACTTCAATTCAAAAAATTTTACATGAAGAATTAGGAGTAAGAAAATTAGTTTCTCGTTGGATACGCCACCTGTTGACTGAAAAGCAGAAAGCAGCCAGGGTTAATTGGTGTCAAAAAACGCTTGGTCATTTCAATTCCGGAAACTCAAAAAATGTGTACAGCATTGTTACTGGTGATGACTCGTGGATTTACTGTTTTGAACCAGAAAATAAACGACAGTCGACTGTTTGGGTGTTCGAAGATTAAGAAAAGCCAACAAGAGTCATCCGTTCTCGAAGTGTTTCGAAAAAGATGCTCGTGACATTTGTGTCAAAAGCGGGTCATATTGCAACAATTCCTCTTAATGAGCAAAGTACCTACTGTTACTGCGGATTGGTATACCACCATTTGTTTGCCAACAGTCATCACCGAGCTTCGAAAAATCAACCCCGAAAGAAGAATCATCCTCCACCAAGACAATGCAAGCTCGCACACAGCCCAAAAAACAGGGCAGTATTTAACGGAAGAAAACGTGGAATTATTGGACCATCCTCCATATAGTCCCGAAGTCCTAATGATTTCTTTACTTTCCCGAAAAATAAAAACAGACTGCGTGGTCAAAGGTTCCTGTCACCAGAAGAAGCAGTTGACGCATTCAAAAATGCCGTTTTGGATCTGCCAGCAAACGAGTGGAATAAGTGCTTCGAAAATTGGTTCGAGCGCATGCAGATGATGTGTATTGATCTTCGTGGAGGATACATCGAAAAACAATAAAGTCATTTAAAACTACCTACCGTGTTGTTTTATTTCCATATGCAAACCTTAAAAGATATCCCTCGTATGGCCATGACGTAGATACATACCTACCCAAAACCTGGTGACATTGGAATTATGAGAATCGTTTTTCGATAAGAAGAAATACACAAAGCAGCGCTTACGGTTTGGGGTCTCTTGGAAACTGATAACCTTTTTTGAGAACATAATATATCAATACCTTCTGTTTATGTTGACTCACACGCCTTATTATTTGTTCCAGGCTTGTATTGGTCATAAAATTGTCAGTAACAATGGGGATGTTGTTTCTGTTTGAGCTCATATCGTCTTTCGTCGACTTCAAAATGAACCCAACAACAGCAAATATTGAAATTATTTGGGACGTAATCAACTGTCTTCAAGGTATGTACATATTTTTTTTAATAGGCAGACAGTGGAGTAATATATTCATTTCACTTTTCATCAGCATGCGAAATATAATCTTATAAGTCTTTGCCAGAGATAAATAATATTTATCTGAAACATTGTAATTTTACTGGAGGTGTGTATCAGTTTTGAAAAATAGTGATCAAGTTGCGTTAACCGATGGTGTGTATACTTTTCAGGACTGTTCATTTTCATCATATTCGTATGTAAAAAGAAGACATTCGAAGGCTGTAAAAAGAGAATTGATATTGACAGGTTGCGAAAAATTTCGTTAACGTCTAATACAAGAGTAACAAGTGTTCCAGCATCAACAAGGCGAATAAGATAAGGGGACGTTGGAAGAAGCATCAGTATGTCTTCAGAAAATGCAACCTTGTAATCCATTTGTAAATTAAACGTTTTGCTTCCACTGACGTCGATTAAATTACCCATTGATAAAGCAAAAACAGCAATTCTTCCTTTGACTGAGGCGAGAGAAGTAAATAATCAGGTCCTTGTTCTGGAAGCTACAGCAAACCGTGGCTTCATCCCATTAGTTAGGCGAATAGCTATAGTAACAAACGCGCCCTATAAATTAGGCTGACTAGCCAACTCTCATCTAGAAGAAATTATATAGAAGAATTGTTAAACAAAATTCTGATGTGCGAAGCTGAAAAGGCCTTCCGTGCAGAGATACAAAAAATGTTCTGGATAAGTCTTTTATTAAACGTCAAAGGTAAAAATATCACATGTTACTTAGTGGTTTACAGGAGTTAATGATGAAAGGATCCTTAAAATGAGACCTCATATGTCCAGTTTAACCTCAAAATTTAGTTCCAGCAAATGGTGAACCTTTTCGATAATTCTTTTTTTTTGCTACTATATAATATTTTCTGTTGTGTATTTTTTAGTCAAAACTAAATTTGACATATTGCGATTTTTTGTAAATAAAAGGTTAACAAATATTCATGCGCTACAACTTTCTTCGCAAACAGTTTTGCCAATACATCACAATTCTCTTCATAATTGAGAAAAAGTTATTGTTTTTACTTTGACAGTTAAAAAAGTTTCCCGCATGTTTTGTATGTTTAGATAAAGAACATTTTCATATACTCTCAAGCAGATATTTCTGTTATGAAATCCGTCTATGCATTTTTTTTTCTAAAATTCTAGATATACTAATCAACTAAGCATCCCATCTAATTTACTAAGAACACGTGTCCTCATGCCTTGTCGGTCTTGGTTTTCCATGATTATCTATTTTCTTTCCACGATCGACATTTCAATCGAATTTATTATTATCTTCAACAGGAATGTCTAAAATTTGTGTATGACAGCATATCGTCGCTTAAGTTCCAGCGCCGCGTATCTCAAAAGTGACATTATAGGAGACCAAAGAGAACCGCGAGTCTCTCGATTTTCTATCGAATGCTATGCCTTATAAACATCCATTTTGTTCTGGCCTTCACAACCATATATGCTTGAAATCCTAACGACGTTCTGACTTCGGAGACCTTTTTCGATAACGTGTATACCTTAATTTTTACGCAGTGTTATAATTTCCAACTTATGCGATGAGATACATGTATGTTTGTGGAAACGATAATAAAAATACTACTGAATATGCCAAGCTGCAGAACCAACATTGAACAATAAGTACTCCAAGGAAATCAAGTTTCTTGGTACCAACATTAATAGGTGGACGCAACTATATGAAAGGGTGAGGTATTGTGGTTCAGATGTGCTAAGATGCAACAGTTTTTTTAAGACCTGCTGAGATCAAGCCGATGTCAATCAATGAAACAAAAATATTGCAGAAAACCCCTGAAATATGGATCGTTTTTGAACTGCTCATGTCCACCTTAAAATCAAACGCATATCAATGAAGCTCTTGTGATACTATAATCGTTGGAGAGCAAGTCACAATGATGCCTTCAGATTTATGATACAATTTTATTTGCATGCTACAATACAACTCTTATTATATATATATATATATATATATATATATATATATATATATATATATATTATTATTATATTTTGCGACCTGAGTGATTCCTGTGAGCATGATTGAAATGCAATCTAACGAAGGTGCTTATCTTTTTGGAAAACACATTTTTATAATATAGTACAATATTCTCAAGTTTGCAAAGCATCATGTCTCCAAGGATCATTGTATAGCAGAGTTGCAGTGAAGTTCCTTTGTTTTTAAGTAGATATAAGCAAGCGATCCGTCATTATTCTCGCAATAATTTTTTTTCATTGATTTATAATAACAAAAATACAGTTTTGGTCATCTATGGCCACCATTTTTAGAACAACAGCAAAAAATAAGGTGTTTCACTGTATGACATTTTTATGTTATTTTTCTATACAGTCGCTTCCATCCTTTAAGTTTGGCAAAAAAATATGAGGCAAATGGCGTAACTTGCTTGAAGTGTTGAGCGCTCCTAATTATCTAGGACATCTGTCAATATGGCAAGTAGATTTTCTTATGGTGTAGATACAATAAAGCGATTCACTGCAAAGAATTTTGACAAGCTTACAATCATCGATCGCTAATCATCTGACTAATAATTACGGGCACAGTTGGGGTCTTGAAAGAAAACCTGAATTAGAGTTTTCTTCTTCAGTTCTGGACTTCCCACTTATTGGGGAAAAAAATATTATCTTGAAAGTTTTTCAATTTTCGTTTTTTGTAAGCTTCCTGTCAAGATGCGAAAGAATCATGTCCTCCTACGTCGACCTACCCCTGTTTTGTCGGTCTGTCAGCCAGCCTGTTAACTTCTTTAGAGTTGCGTAATTTCAGCAACTGCTGACCTAACTGATAAAATGAAATGGAATTTTGAGAAGGATACGATACGTAATAAGTTTTAGATCGTCCTTCACTTTGCTTTGACATTATAAACCAGAAATAAATAAAACTCGTAAATATTTTACATATTTATTACAATATATCTAACCGAAGGTATATATACAAAAGATGTAAATGAAAAAGAAGTATTCTATTCTTAATAAATTATAAAATCTACCGTCGTTTATTGTTTAGGAGAATATTGGCACATGGGTGGCCTGCATAGACTTATGTTTCTATAAGCTACAAAATTTATAGGTATTCATAGAAATGAAAAAAGATCCGAAAAGTAACTATAAGAACTAATTTTCCTACATTAAATATCCAATATCAAAAATAGATTAAACATATTTACATACAAGAATTGAGAGTGAAATAATGCATAAAGAACTGATATGTTCCTTATGAGTAAAATAGGACTAAGAAATTTTTACTCTCGTACATCAGTGAAAATACATCAGATTTTCCCTAAATCATTAATGAAGCATTTTCTAGACAAGATTTATTCTATGTTGCTTCTTGATCTTAGCTTTTGAAGCTAAGCATAAAATATTTGCTGTCAGTTCTGGAAAATCAAACAGAAACAGTAATACAAATGTGTATCATATGGTAAACAGGAATAAGTGAAATAGGACCTGACAGTTTAAATTTATCAATTTGAAAAAGTGATGCAACGGCTTTCCCGGGTACTTTGTGAATTATGTTCTTGGTACTTATCCGTTGAAAATATATTAACGAATGAGGCTGCTACGTCTGAGATTATATGGATCAAGCACAAAACTAACAAAATATGGATTGATTATTGGTAAAGAAGTTGAAATGATGTTAAATTTGCTAGCTACAGCAACATTAAAAAGTCTTAATAAATTTCTGAAAGCGAGCCTAATAGAAAAATAAATGAAAAGCAAAAATTGTATTTGTTAACAACCAGCTGATATTTCGAAATGGGTATTGTTTCTCCGGATGACACATTGTCGAAAACACTTCTTAGTTGTCTTTTCGATAATTTAGTTCACCAATAGAAAAAATACTTATTCTGTATATCCTTCCACAGTACCTATAATATTTACTACAACCAAAAAGCAGTGTCGAATGGAGCAAAACAAGATGTATTGATTTTATAGATAATACGTACTAATAATAGAACGATTTATGAAATAAATCAGAATCAGAGAGAGGAAGGTACATTGCTTTTTGGAAAAATTCGGAAATCTCACGAAAATCATCACAAGCATTCAACATGTTGCGCAAGGGCTTAACAGCATACCTAGTCAAACCTAACCTAGTCAAAAATGCTATACTAGTCAAAATGTGTTATATAACTCTAGTCCCAGTTGTCCTAGTTGGTTAAAGAGTCAAATGCTCATTGATAATAACTCCTTAAAAACAACTTACTTCATTACTCCAAATTTTCGATTAACATAATTTTGCACTATTACTTTTTACGTGCTGCTAAGCTTAGATAGAAATTGACTAAATAGACTGACTGGTATCTGTCCATCAAACACGACTATCCGAAGATGTTTGGTAAAAACAACTTTAAGGATTTCTTTCTCAACCTAATGTTCCTGGTGTCCTCTGCCCTAGTCTCTTTCTTCCTGCTAGCAACCTGCAATTATAATGTAGTAATACTGTAGTGACTCCATCTCTGAACAAACTTTTTAATCAACGACGACCCCTTCGTCGATGCTATAAATAGTTTTGGCGCGTTCCGCCCCCGCCGGTACCGTTTACTCAGGGTTGCCAGACGTAAAAGAAATCTCGTAGATGCACAAGATTTCAAGTGTCGATACGAGAAATGATGTCTAGGTGCCCAACGTAGTGTGGAAAAGTATAACAATAAATGCATATCTGACCACCGATGGTAAAATTCGATAATAAACCTTATTTCATGGGTATCCAACATGTTATGGCATCTACTGATGTGAACAGCTGATCAGTAAATTTAGTTGAACCTGCTTGTATGGAAATGAACTTTTCTAAATAAAAGGGTTTCAGTAATTACAAAAGTAGCGTACAAAAAAATAAAATTAAATACGGCTCTGTCTACCTGGTATTGACGGATCCGTGAGAATTATCTGTCATTTGTCGATATGGGGAATTTTGAAATATCATCAGATAATTAGCTGTTATTCTACCGTAATAGATCCTTGTGAAAAAGACACTAGCTTTTTCAGTTGAGTTAGTCCGACAGGGGTATTATACAAAATACCTAAAAAAGTAAAAAAAATCGAAGAAATGTTATCTTGCAGACTAGGTAGTTTTTAGTATGCAAATAGTTCACTCCACGTTTGCTCGCTATGATCGCTGTTCGCTGACGCCCAAGCAACACGTACAGCTACAAAACGAGTTCACAACAAATCTACAACACTTGTGCTAAGTTAACGTCTTGTAGAAAAACCTGCGTTATGTCACAAAAAACGTACGAAATGTCAAAAAACGACAAAATGTCACTTTTCAACATACCTAATGCCAGTGCCGTTTTTCGATAGCTGGTCTGTCAAATATAGCCACGCCAAGGCCTGTCAACGCGACGCCAGTGCTGTTATTCAACTAAACTGTCATACTGCTTTTGTTAAAACAATATCAAGACGCACTGTATATTGCCTTTCTCTAGCTGCAAATACTTCTTCGTAAGTAAATGTTGATACCGCTGAATAATATCAACTCTAAATACTCCCATTTTATACTTCAAAAAAATATAGATGACCTGTATGGCCTGTTGGATGTTCTGTTGATAGATTAAATAGGAAATCCTTCAGGTGGCTGGAGGACTAAGACCATTCTAAAATATTCGTTAGGTACTTGCTTATTTACTTGACGGATTTTTGGCTCACCCTTTCTACCGGTGAATGTATACATGCAGGTATTGCAAATGAAATATAGCGATAAGGATTCGTGTTAAAATTTAGAGAGAAGCAATAGTATGTTCGTGGTTACTGATGAGTTCTATGCACGACGCTGTATTTTGTACAAACTTCAACAAGAGAGGAATGCTACGATAGCATGTAGTGATTGAGGATGCAATTTCTTACAAAACAGAATACGCTTCGATAAATTTCAAACGGGTCATTTCGGAATGTCTGCTAACCCACGCTCCGAGTAACCTTAATTAATCAACGACTATACCGTCATCAACATGCTAAAGCAAAATTCTTTTTTGACAGCACGAGGGAAGCTCGATTTAGTGGAACGAAATTTTCCATATTATATTTTGGTATTGGAATTAGTGAGGGAATATTTGAGTTGAGTTGAGGAATTTCGATGACAGGTTCATGACATGTACAGCTCCGCTTGCAAACAGCAGAATCAATCCTTTCTGGGATCGAGTAATAAGAGGGGATCAAAAGTAGATTACGTATGAAAATTCCATGCATATTGAGAGCCGGGAAAACCTTCTTTTCCAAACCAAATTTGAACTTCAGCAAGAAAATGTTGTGTATATGGTGGAAGATTCGAGGACCAATGCATAATGAGCTGCTGAAACCGAGAGGCCTTGTCAGTAACTAGATAAATTTTAGTCAGCATTCGGCGGTGTTGTGTAGAAAAAGTAATATACTAATGTATGATAATTCCAGTTCGCGTACTGTCTTGGTGACCCACCAAAGAAATCGCAGAGCTAGGCCACAAAATTCTATCTCATCCCCCATACTCGCCAGACCTAACACTCTCCCACTATAATCTATATTTGTCATTACAATCCCACTTATAAATGAAGATCTCCATCATCCCGCTATATCTGTAACCATAAATCAACTTCATTTTGAAGTGAAAGAATTTGCCACCAACGCTTAGCATAAGCGGTATAACTTCAGAAAAGCTAATTTCCTCACGCGTTATGAGGAACTGGTATCCACAAACTGAGATTTCTTAGATACTGGGATTGATCCTAACCAAGCAGTCGAAACTTTCTACAACAACTTATTTCCAATACTTGACAGACATGTTCCTTCTGCAAAAATATTCAAGCATAAGTTTCCTGTATGGTATTCCAGCGAAATGATTGCATTTGTAAAAGGCTCAATATCATAAAAGCTTATTAATGAACCTAAATGTTTTTGGTCATACACGCACAGTAAGAGTAACATCTAGAATTCCTAATAAAATGTTCTACCAAAATAACTCCTGTAATGACCGCGTATCAATCGTCAATGCTTTTGCTGACTTTTTTCAGCGTGTTTACTCTCCACCGGGTGATCGTGTTATAAGTGCTGAGTATAAAAATTGTAACAATGATATTCTTATTAATATAACATTCAATAAGTGAAAAAGAGATGTTATATGCTGCAAAGAAACTCAAAAATAAATTTACGTCAGGGCAAGATCAACTGCCATCGTTTTTCATTAAATTCTGTGTAAAGCTCTTCTCAACTCCTTTCTTGACAATTTTTAACTCAATTCTTCGTCCATCGGTTTTTCCTGATAAGTGGAAGATTGCCAAAGTCTGTCCAATTTTCAAGTCGCAAAACAAAACCTTAGTAAATAATTACAGGGCGATCACTATACTGAATAATTTTGCAAAGCTCTTTGAAATAATATTGTATTCCAGAATTTACTTGGCAACTAAAGACCATCTGTGTGAGAGATCCACTATTACGAAATTGGCCACGTACAGTCAATATCTATGTGAGACGGTAGACAATAATGGGCAAGTGGATGTCATATATACTGATTTCACAAAAGCGTTTGACAAAATTGACCATCAACTACTTGTACAAAAATTAAATACATGGGATGCAACAGAACTTTTGTGGATCTTCTGAAGTCTTTTCTAGACTTGAGAACTCGATATGTATTCTATAATGTATTTAGTTCTTACAATTATATGTTAAGTAGTGGCGTACCTCAGGGTTCCAATTTGGGCCCCCTATTGCTTGCCTTATACGTTAACGATATTTGCAGCACATTATCATGCAAGAAGCTTATGTTTGCTGATGATCTGAAGCTTTACACATGTGTTTCTAGCTGGCAGGATTGTGAAAACCTCCAACAACAACTAATTTTTTTACTAGCATGGTGTGTTAATAACAATTTGTATTTGAACAATTTTAAATGACTCATTTTGACCTTCACCCGGAAAGCCAAATTTATAACTTACCCATACAAAATAAATGACTCTGTATTGGAAAATTGTGAAACTTTCAAAGATTTGGGCATCTATTTCGATTGTCAGCTCACTTTTAACTATCAGATCAGTGAAATTTTAAATAATGCGTATCGCAGATATGGCTTTATTATCAGAAATTGTAGAAATTTCAATAACACATCGCTTATTAAGTTATTTTCAGTGCTCGTTATAAGTAAATTAGAATATGGTACAATTATTTGGAGCCCTATCTATGAACTGCCCAAAAATAATGTTGAAAAAGTGCAAAAGAAGTTTCTAAAATATCTATATACGAGTGGTGTCTATCCTCCAAGAGGACATGACTACTCACTATTATTGTATAGATTTGGCGTCCCTTCTTTGGAGAAGCGCAGAGAGCAGGCGTCCATCATATTTTTATACAAATTACTGCATGGTAACGTCGAGTGTCCTGTTTTGCTATCGCAAATTAATTTCCTGGTACCTAGATTGACATCCAAATATAAAGTTTCCTTTTTTTGCAAGAGGGAGCAGACAAATATTCTATCTAAAGCACCAATAAGCTTTATGTGCAATAATGCGAACAGGATTGTGAGTTTGTGATATCTTCTGTTGTTGATTTCAGGAATTACGAAGTGCTATACGTTCACATCTTTGACTTTTTTTTACGCCTTTCTCTAGAGGTTTTCGTTTGTTATATATTTATGTGTCAACATTACATGATATGGCTGTATATATGTATATAATGTATATATATATATACGTATACATATATATGTGTGTGTGTGTATGTATGTGTATATGGATACATATGTATATACGTATATGAGTATATTGTGGTTTCCTTATATCTATTAATCATATTCATAGTTTCTTTTCTCTCTACTTAAAGCGCCTTCCTCTTTTTTATGTTTTTTTTTTGTTTCACTTTATGGCATACAGACTGTGTAAATTAAACCATTGTACTATGTATTGCTCTCTAAATGGTTGGGCAATAAATGCTTTATTATTATTACAAGATTTCCCGTAGGATATCGCGATATTAAACAAGCTCTCGATCAAATGTTCACACCTAGAGATGACGTATTATAAAAATTGAATATACACAGTTTCAGTAGACCGAATATAAGCGTCTGCAATAATCCCCCTATTATTACATACCTGTTCAGCCCTCTCGGCTCCTCGGTTGTCGTTGTTGAGCTAGGCGCTTCTGTCTCAACTACTTCCTCTGCAGGATCGGTAACTGGTGCCGGTGCTTCGCTAGAAAGGGTTGCAGGAGCTGTCTCTGTCGTCTGCCCCGGTCGACGACGACCTAATAGGGGGTTCACCCTTCGAACCTAAGAAAATAACAAATATTTTTTTTCAATCCAGGAGTTCAGGCGCTAAATTGTAGGGAACGAGCAGGAATCATACAGTGGTCCCTACTACTTATTTGTTGAACGGATCAAGCTAGCAAGCTGAAATTCGAGGTTATGAAATTACTGCATGGATAGCATACTCTACAAATAATAGTTAAAGCTTTGTAGCCTTAGGATATCTCGAAATATAATTTGAATCTCATGCAGGTCAGGTGATGTCTCATTTTTGAGCTACCCAACAGTATATTTTATTATCTTTGAAAATTGCAGCCATGCGGGTTATCAAAGTCGAACGTTTATAATTCAACTAAAAATGCCCAAGACCTTATACAGTAGAACCGAAGTTGTTTGGGAAATCGGTGCGTGATCCGAAATAGCCGCCGGTAGTTTCCCTTTCGGCGTTTGCGTCATTAGATTCGCTGCCGGGTGATTCCCCAAGCGCGTTTGCGGAATTCACTGGTATGTGTGCGTGTATGTTTGTTTCAGTCAGGTTCATAATCGCTAAGGTGGAGCAGCTTAGAAATAAATGTAAACGCGTTGTTATTATCATAGAACAGAAACTTGAGGCAATCAGACGTTTACATAGAGGTGATTTGCTTAAAAATTTGGCAAGTGATTTGGGTGTGGGCGTGAGTACCACTTCAGAATGGAAAAAACAACGCGACAAAATTAAAAAATGGTCTAGTGTTCTGACATCATCGCAGCCGTCACGGGAAACTATGAAAAAGGAGGTATATCAGAAAGTGGATGATGCTTTATATCTGTGGTTAACACAGAATCGAGAACGTGGAATACCAATTTCCAGACCAATTCTAAAGCAGAAGGTATTCAACTTAAATGAAGAATTGCCAGTTACTGAGGCGCCTGATAACTTTACAGCCAGTGATGGTTGGCTTAATAGATAGAAAAAACGAGAATTAAAAGTTTGCGGAGAAAAGTTATCTGCCGATAAGTCTGCTGCAAAAAAATTTGGAGAACATTTTAAGGAATTAATGAAGCAGTATGGTTTAAATCCAGAACAAAACAACTGCGACGAAACGGGCATAACCTATAAAATGTTACCAGCAAAAGTTTAGCTCCAAAACAAGAATCTGGAGCTCCTGGTTACAAACCGCACTGAAGAACGTGTGACTATCCTTGCTTGTAGCAATGCTGCCGGTACACATAAACTTCCTTTGTTGTTAATTGGAAAATCAGCAAAACCAAGATCATTTAAACACGTCCGTCCCAACGCTCTTCCAGTGTGGTATAAAAATCAAAAAAATGCCTGGATGAGATATACGAGTGATATTTTTGCCTCCAAATGTAACGTCACTGATTCAGCCAATGGATCAAGGAGTTTTAGAAAATTTTAATCGCAATAACTGACGTTTGTTATTAGAGCAAATTTTAGATCAAGGTGATAATGGTTGTGACCTCGTTGATTGTTTAAATAAGATTAACCTCAAGAATGTGGCATATTGGATAGCAGAAGCATGGAGCCAAGTAAAAAATTCCACTTTACAAAAATCTTGACAATAATTAAGCAAGAAATGAAACCTTGCGCCGACTATGAGAATAACGACGAAAATTTACATGAGCTCGTCATAAAAATAGCAGGGTGTGAAAATCTTACCCAAGCAGATGTTGGTGAGTGGATTAATGGTGATGAAGAATTAGTGGAAGAACTGATACAGAACTAATAAAAACTTTTTGTAACAATGGCGATGAGACAGTTTTAAGTGATGCTAGTGACAATGAGACCGAAATCCCTGCGAAAATATCACATTCTGAGGGATTAGAAGCTCTACAAAAGACGTTGACTTACGTCGAACAACAAGAAAATGCGATAGCAGCTGATGTGCTACTTATCAAACGTTGGAGGGATATTGCCGCCAAAAATAGGAACAATGCAAAACATGTACAGTTAAAAATTACTTCCTTTGTTACTAAATAGACGTAAATATGTATGTTTGTATACACATGTTTATATTTTACGTAACTTTATATAGGTATATACCGACTTAAATCATGAGTCTAAATATTTCTTTCCGTTTTATCCGAAATTTCGATCATCCGAAAGCACTTGGGTCCACATTATTTCGGAAATCGGGGTTCTACTGTAGTATGTTGTTTCAATCTTCTTTTTTGAAGACGTCCATCTGAATGGGTAATAAAGTATGAGACATTCAGCTTAAAAAATTGACATGTTTTGACAATCCTTTAAAACGAAGTGTTCCTTATTCCTAACTACGTTTAACTGTCACTTGTTCGCTGATGTATAATACTAATGGATGTCAAGTTTGCCAACTCGACCCGTTCAATAAGTAGGAAGGCGCTGTATATACCAACAGAGAGTCGCAAGCGGTTATATCTGGTAAGCCAAAAGTGATCCCAGGAAAGTGAAGACAATGAGCGGGAGTTATTTGATTAAGGGAAAACAGAACTATCACCCCAATGTACCTAAGAAACCAGTAGGCTATTTTTATAAGAGCTTAGCATATTCCTTATTTTTTGTTTTTTATAGATACAATATTTAACATATTCGGTCGAACATACTCCTAAAACTAGGTTATCATTTTCCTGACTACATGATATATACCTGTACTGGTGCACTTGCAGCAGGCTTGGGCCTAGCTTGAACATTCAGTCTGCCCTTGTTTTTCAGCTTGGATAGTGGGCCATTGTCTGCAGGGGCGGTTGGAGTTTCTTCCTAAAAATGAATTTGTTGAGCATCAAGGATTTAGCTTTCAGTAAATGGAGCATAAGCTTTCTATAATACTAAGACTATGTCTGTTTTTGTTTTCAAACCTTTTCACTAGCTTCCTGTTGCGTAGTCTCATGCTCGTCATCTCCTGTAACGTGATCCTCAGCTGCAGCTTCTGTGGTCGTTGTGCTAGCGCCTCTTCCTCTACCGGCCAAGTTTATCCTTGGTCCCGGCCTTAGAGGTCTGATACCTGGAGCTGAGTTCACCTTCCTTGATCTCACAGTGGTACTGCTTACCTGCAATAGGCGATTGAAATGAAATCTATAGTGACAGGTAAATAGTGGTTGTTTTGACCAAATCTCCTAACTATGTGCTTAGGAGCAGCTTTGCCAGAATGACATAAAAACCCTTTTGGAAAATTGATTTCGCTTCCACTCACACCGATTTTTAGTAAATCTCTACAGAACTACTAGAGTTTCTTGTTATGAAACTTCTACATCAGATCACGGAGCTCATATTTGACTATACAAATATTCAGAAAGCTCCTATCTGGAAAAATTGTTCATAGGAGGTTTCATCAAAACAACGACGAAATGTTACGTTGGTGTAGGATGACTCGCAAAAATACTTGGCATAATATGTGTCGCTTCCTATTTGCTAAACAAGTCAGGAAGTTTAGATTTTTTTTACACTCCAACCACCACGAAGGCCTAAAGCCCACTCACCCTGGGAAACCGTGGAGCTATAGGGGGATACAGGAAAAAGGAGTTTAGACGCCACACGGACCCCATCGAGGGAACACACATTGTCAGAGAACGTCTTCCACCTACAAAAGCACACGGGATTCGTGACTTTGTGTTAAGGAGGCATATCGATAATTATGAAACTTTGTCATATTAGTAATACATCTTCATCTAAGATGAAGCAGATAAAACATTTGCTTAACAACCTCTCACTGCGTTAACCCTTTCTGGGCAACTTTGCCCTTTCATCTCTAACATAAGAGAAACTCAATTGGACCGGATGAGCATCTAGTGCAATTCTTTAGGATGATCCATCCTTCTTGAGTAGAATATTCCTCAATGGGCGCTAAGCGCTGTAACGCGTCTAATTACTCTTTCTTCAACAGAGAATATAGTAGAGTATTAGTAAATATGGGTGCAGGAACTTTAGCCGTACTTACGTCTTGAGCTGGAGAACTTTCTTCCTTCCCTTCGTCTGTAGGTGCTGCCGTGGTCGTACCTCTTCCTCTTGGCCTCAAATTGAGCCCTGGCCTTGCTCTAGACGGTTGTGGTCTGTGGTGAGTACTCGCTGCTGTTGTTGACTCTTCCTTAGCTAAGTCTGAGGGAGCTGTGGTGGTACGACCTCGGGGTCGGGAAGCACCGAATCGGGAGTTACGTGGAGGCGTCTGCAACAATTTAAAGAAGATGAATTTCAATAGAATAACAAAGACAAGTAAGCTTGGTCAATAACATAAGGATACAAATCAATAGGCGATACCTTGGACCTTTTGTAAGACCGTTTTTTCTTATCAGAACAAAACAGAAATTAAAAAAACACCCAAAACAAGAACATCAAAGTCATTTTTGTTGAGCTATGTTCACCAATTATACAATGTCCCAGATCTCTGCCATGTTTTTTAAGTCAGATTGAGCAGCCCATAAATCCGACCACGAAAATTGGTGAATAGCAGACCCAGGTGTGTTCGGAAGATCACGGTAAGTTTGTAACGAGGAGATTGGCATTTATATTCTAGACATGAGTTATCTAGTGATTTTGTACGGTTTACAGGTTTTTTGTAATATATTAATATGCATAGTAAAGATATTCTTTGTAACCGCTGACAATCAAAATAGTGTTACAGTTATCATGCTCCTAAGAGTCGTCCACTTAATAGTGCGCATCTTCTGGAAACGGATTCCAGTATGTCGTCGTCAAAGTCTGATGTGGGACCAATTCTAGAAATTATTAGTGAAATTAAGAACTGATCAACAGTTTTGATCTTAAGTGCGCTTAAGGGTGACTGCATCCTGTTTCAGGCAGATCGTGGAAACACCGATGTCCCATTAAAATGTGTCCCGTTGAAGGTATTTGGTATTTCGAAAAACTAGCTTCACTGCAGCAAAATTGGAACACTGTCAGCACATAAAGTTGAGTTTTCTTTGTCAGATGCCAAAAGGGTTTATCGATTCCAATGAAAATGCCTTATTTATCGCTTGAGGAGGACAGGATGTTTATGGAACAACCAAGGGAGTCGGACTGTTTCGATCTGAGGCTTCCTTGTCAGCTCTGTTAAGTATGGAATCCTCAAAGCTAAAAATTATTCTAGATAATAAGGATGCTTAAAATTCGATCAAGGCCGATTTCTTTCTTTTGGAAGACGTTTGACAACTCTCTCATCACTCCCATGGATCAAGCTTGCCACGGAATAAAAATTCTTAGCTTTTCTTGTATGCATTTCCACACCATACTCACTCTGCTTTGACTGCCTTTTTCTTCCTTCTTCACTTCCTCCTCGTGAACTGCAGGTGCATGCGTCGTGGAACCTTTACCCCTACCTCGCGCTCCAGCAAAACTGGGTCGTCCAAATTTCCCCCTCTTGGTCGGCTCTTGAGGTGCCTCTGTCGTTGTGGTGGTGGTATGCGCACCCTTCCTGCCGCCTCCAGGTCGCCTGTTTCCTCCAAATTTACCTCTTCCAAATGGACCAGCTGGAGCTTCAGTAGTAGTTGTGGTTGTAGTCGTGGGTGCTGGGGTGGTGGTTGTCGTAGTGGTTGTTGTTGTAGTGGTGGGCGTTGTTTCGGGTTCGGAATATTCTGAAACGGTAAGTAAAAGTTTAGAAGAAGTGGTCTTTAAGTCAATAGCTCTAGGCAATTAATTAAATACTGATGTGTGAGTGGCAAGCAGGCACTGAGCTTGGAGAGAGACTTTGGGCAATGCAGCAGTGAAACATCAGGTCTCAGTATCCACATCAGGATACTTGTTCACTTGGAGATGCGTAGTGATATAATTACTGATATTTTATGAGCCCAGCCCGCAGTGCTGCCTAATCTGAATTTGCTGGACCAGCTGCAAATAGAATTAGGAAAACAAAGGGGATGCATGAGAATATCTTTAGAGATGCAGAACGGTTTTAGACGAGAAAAGGAGTTAATCATAGAACTTATGATTCGGGAGTAACGTTTTTCTCTATCATGTCAACTGCAAGTTTTGGTGGGACATGGACTGATCCCAATACCTTCAAGCATAATGTATTGTCGTCCGCGAGAAGCTTTTGGAAGCCTGAATCAAACCACAGCGTATATTTGAGAGTACTCGGAAAGAGTCGTGGGTGATGCGAGATATGATGGTGGATCACTCCATGCTAACACGGATGAAAAGAAACTAAATGCTTATGATTTTGGACAGCAGCAGCAACCTCAATAAATGTTTACTCAACGCTCCTACAAAAAAAGTAGAGACACCGCATGCATGAAAGGCTTAGGCTAGGAAACTGTACGACGTAATCATCTCTCTAGCAAGAGATATTTGCCATCCTAGTGACAAGATACTTGGAGGATGTTCAAAAGTGTACTGAGCGAAGCGTATAAAATTATACCGTTATAGTTCAAGCGAATAACATTTCGGAGAAACAAAACAACTCCTGCTTAGAAATTTAGATTTGCTCTCTAGAGTTTAGACTATTTCAAAGATAGATGATTCTGCGTTGGCGCCAAGTACTATGGTGCGTTGGTGAGCGATCTATGTTGGTGGTCATGATGTATGCTAGCAGCCGAAGTGGTTCAGGGTGGGCCCCAGGAAGGTCGCTTTAGCTAATGAAAGTAAAAAGCTTGCAGTGATGATTCTCAGCGCAGGATGGGTAGACTTCCGTCGCTCATTGGTGTGATTCCTGCATACTTCTCGTGCGGGTGGAACACAAAATGGTACTCTTAAGGGACTGTGACGTATTTTCCAGTACAGATATTCAGCATGTGTGTGTTTGGTGGCGAAGTAATATGCGTTGTGTACTGTGACAATTATAAATAATAGCTTAAATGTAGTCATGAAGTGTTTCTTAGTGTTGCCTCTCACAGGTTTGGCGAAAAAGACCAAATGCGATCTGATTACCTGGCTTCGCCTAACCGCCTTTAAGGACAGGTGATATAGCAATGCATATAATACCTATACAATTTCTAGTGGTAAATGATTAGAGAATCACTCATTGAGCCAACAATGTAAAATACTCCACGACCATTATAGGTTACTGTGAGGCTCTGGAGTACGACAGGCAGCTCATACTGGAACCTAGTCTAGTGGAACCAAATTGTATAAGTTGGGTAAAACATTCAGAACTGACTCAGGTAATCCTCATCCAATTTAATATGGAATTTCACATGAATCATCATTATTTACTATCATATAGCATACTCTCACCTGTAGTAGTTAAAATGGTAGTTCCATCAACATCAGTGCTGCTCTCTCCTTCCTCCCCGAACAACTTCTGGGTTCCTTGTGATATTGCGTACAAATCCAAGGCCACTTTGTCCATTGGAGACATCGTTGTGGTTGTTTCATCGTTAGATGCACCAGTGCTGTCATCTTTGGGATCTTCAGTTACTGGTTTTACTGTTTCTTGCTTGGCATCTTGCTGCTTAGAGAAATGCTGATCAAATGTTGGATAAAGTATATATCAGTTGAAAATGGCTTTCACAATGTATCTATTAACGGTGATAGCTTATAAGACATATGAAGATTTGGTAATAGTATTTACTTTATCATTGCCACCACTAAGTTTGAAATTGTCAAATTAGGTTTACCAATCGAGCTGCCGAGAAAGCGTCACTGATCTCTGTGTCTCGAGTACCATTATTTAAATGCTTCCTACTGGGCTGCGCTGATAAATTGTTACAGAGTGTACTTTGTACTGCTCTGGAACAACTTGACCCTTACATGACCCTGTCATAATTTAAGCGTTCTAAACAGAAAGTTCCACAGTATTCAATGGCAAAATTTCATCTATAAATCCACATTTCATTACTGTTCACGGTATTACATTACCTAGTGACTTACGAACGTACCCTTGTACACAACTGTGAGAAATTGATTTCCAGAATAAGTCTAACGTTACCTTCAATCGTGGAGCTCTGTCAAGCCATCTTCCAGCTGATATAGATACAAATAGTCTTCAGGGGTTATAGTAGATGTGAGTGAAGAAGTAAATATGTTTGAATTGTGCTTAAAGTGCGATATTCAAAACAGACGCTTTGTAGTCCCTCGAACGAAAAAGTGTTTCACTACAAAAGTTAATGTCCCGAATGTTTCCAACCTGCAGGCATGATATGACCAAAAGAGATACACAAAGCGAATTTCACTTGTAGCTAGAAATTGCTTATGAGTAAGGTGGTGATTGTTACCATTTTTCTTAGATCTAGCATTGTTACCCGAAAAAATTCAGTGTGGCAACAACTTACTGAAGTTTATGACTTAAGTAGTGTGGGTGGTTGCATAGTGGCATGGTGGATTGATAGAATAATGGAAACAACAATGTAGATTGCATAGTTTCTTCAAAAATCACACCATTTATTTTTTTCTAATGCTGCGAAGCTGTAACTGCACCAGTCACAACCCGATGCTTTGTTATTATTTTTGTTGACTCAAAAGATATAGTACGATACGTAGAAGGCACCGTAACCATTCTTCCCCTCGTTTCTTTTAATTTCTTTCTTTCTTCTTAATAGCTACGTTTACACGATGAAAACGCTATGCGCTAGCACGTATTGTTCCATTTATTTACACCACTCTTTGACAAGAGGTGACACAGCACTCTGTGAATATCGATGCTTGCAACGTAGCCAAACTCTTTTATGATGCTGAGCACATAGTGTAAACATGTTGACGATATATCAACTATGGGCGCAGAGCGGTGTAGATGTACAGAACAAGAATGTTCTTTGACTTAGCTCAGAACTAGTAGCCATGGTGTAAGCAAGACCAGAGAATGACCTGACTGCAACCACATTAACTACAGGGTGGCCAACTAAGAATGCGAGGTAGTGTATTTGAGAACCTATTGCGACAAAAACAGTTATTGCTAACTGCAATCTTGAATCTAAAACAGTGATGTAGTTGTGAATTCCGCTACATTAACTTAACAAAAAATAATTGATCTTTAAAGTGAACTTTTTTGGTATGACAATTTTTGCTGTATCTCTAAAAATTAACTGGTGGGGGGTATTCAAAGGGTTCCGTAAAAAACAACCTGTATCTTCGAAACAGCTAAGCCAATTTTAACAAACTTGGCCTGCAAATGTTATAATATTTGAAGTTCTGTTAGTTTCACATGTGGCCGCTAGACGGATTTCTTCGGTATTCCGACAGAAATGGTTAATTTTCTGAAAAAATTGTATACGGAAATCCCTCAAACTTTTATTATTTAAACTAATTTACCTGGAATTATTTTTTATTCATCAGAATAAAATCGTCGTTATTAAAAATATCACACAATATTGCTAAAAGTGTAATAATTAATGCTAATAACGAAAGACATATGTTTTGTTTAAATGTATATCCACTATGGGTACATACGAAAAAGACGATTAATAGAAGCAGGCCATGGAATACAACAAAACAAATACCTAATCAAAATATAAATAATCCTCAAATTGTCAATACTTTTCTATAGTTTCACGTTACGTTGAGCAATTTTTGTGCTTACCAAATATGTACGTTTCACGAACGATGAAGCTGTTGATATGCTTCCAGTTTATTTTGAATGTCTTCAGAATACCGCAGTAGCAAAAAGATATCCAAATCGGCGTCCTTGTGATGTTAAAGTTTTTCCCCGAGCTTACGACCCAGTGGTAGTCTTCGGCCTACGATTCAACGGCAAGGACACAAGAAAATATTAACCGCATAGTGCGATATATTGAAGGAAATCATCAAGTTAGCACAAGGGAATTCTCCCCCGACAAATGATTCAAAATATTTTGAAGGACCTTAGGTAAGTTCTAATGGTCATCTAAATATAGGGATTTATTTAAATTTAACTTTTTTCATTTAGTTTTAGAATGCACCCATATCATGTCGTTTTGCTTCAGGCCTTGAAATAGATACACTTTGATCGGAGATTGGACTATTGTTACTGGGTGTTAGGCATGATACGCGAAAATAGAGAATTTTCATTTTAGGGCCACAACTTAATAATAAAAACAAAGTCCAGAAAAATTAGTTCAAACAGATAAAAGTATATGGGTTTTCCGTATAAAGCCTTCTTTGACGTAAATGTCAGGTTAGGAACAAGATATTGAGATGCAGTTTTCGCGAGATTGTTTAGACATCATTTAGCTACCTTTTCATAAAAAGAATCATACCAATGAATTTGATTTTTTTTGATAAAATTTACCATTTCTGTCGGAATACTGAAAAAAGTCTTCTAGCGGCCACATGTGAAACTAACAAAACTCCCAATATTATAACATTTGTAGCCCAAGAATAGTTGTTTTGAACTAGCCCATGTTTGTTAAAATCGGCTCAACCGTTTCCAAGATACAGGATATTTTTTACAGAATACCCCCCACCACTTTATTTTTTAGAGATTTAGCAAAATTGTGAAACGAAAAAGGTTCAGATTATCATCGAATTTAAAGATCAGGTATTTTTTTGTTAGGTTTATATAGCTGAATTCACAGATACATCACTTTTTTAGATTCAGGATTGCAATTACGCCTCCCAGCGTCCATTTTCTAAGCTTTACAACATTTTTCCGGTTTTTCTCTTTTTTCTCTTAGCCATCTTAGTAAGAACTTTTTTTGCAGCAAGCCTCTACGATGGATAGCTTTCCAGATACAGTATCTCGCATTCTTAGTTGGCTACCCTGTACCCTTTGAGATAGGTAAGCAGAATGAGAGTGTCAGTTATTTGTAGAAATTTTCAAGCTATGGTATGATATAACTGTTTGAGGTTTCCCTACCCTTGTTAACAAATTTGCGGGTGGGAATAAGAGAATAATATCATCCCATTAGTTTTTGAGATTAATTTACGTATATACTTGATACAGCAATAACTTTGCTTTGCTGACTTATTATGGCTCAATTTTTTCGCTCAATTCCTAAGTTTGTTTTAGACAAGGGATGATTCTATAGCCCCCATCAGCTTGATTGAATTGTAATTGTAATATACCTCCCCCTTGCATTCTTGTGCGTGTATTTCTTGTTTAATTCATTATCATAGTTATAATATATATATATATATATATATATATATATATATATATATATATATATCCTTATAGATCTTCGTGAATACAATAATACAAAGCTTGAGTTTCTTCTGAGTTTAATTTGTCTTGGATAGTCTTCAAAGTAGCCACATATGGCCTACGAGCATCCTCAATACGTTTTTTTTTTTGCTGGATGACAATGCTCATTACTAGGCATCATTTACTGCCCCGCAGCCTTAGAAAAGGTCAAGAGAGAGTACAAAAGTGAGCGAAATGTGTGGAATATAATATAGTGATGGAAAGTCTGGATAGAGAATTTGTGATGATGTGCCCACATCCATGCCTAATAACGTAACGTAATCGTTCGTACTGGTTCTGACAGATCGATCCGCTCGTTGGGGATGGCTCCCAAGAAACGTACCGGTCCTTCGGGCAGCTGGGATGGGAAGTTCGGTTTGGTGCCGCCTACGGCGCCAGCAGAGTTGAAGCTGTCGTTGTCAACCAGGTCCAACGATGGACGGCGGACATTGGCACGGGTACGACCGCGACTGGTGCCCTGTGAATAAAATTCCGAAGTTCGTCAAAAACTAGTTGTTTTTTGTACACGAGAATATAACATGCTAAGCGCCATTCAGCGAGGGCTCACCTGCATACCTATTTATTCGAAAGAAGTTAACACCCAAGATCCTGCGTTCAAGTTCTGTTAATTCTGATTGTAGAATGTAGATTATAAACCCATAATAACTTTTACTACGGCCTTCGCATAAGTGTCAACACTGTTACTTTAAGGTGAGGTTTGAAATGTATGCGTAAATATTAACATTTAAAAATATGAATACCGTTTACATATTTATGAACTGTACATCAATCATAAATCTTATTATTGACGGCACTACATGCTGAATCCGGTGTCCAAAATTTAGGCCAGTGATAGCCACAATACTTTCTGATTTTCAGAGATTATTGCTGCATGTCTAAGATCCTAACTTGAAATATGGCGAAAATGAGTTGAACGCATTACCTATCTTAGAAAGATATAAACTTTTTGTTGATGTTCAAATAGTAGGAACTATTTTAATGGTACGAACTATCAAGGTATGCCACGTTTCTTGTGTTTCAGTCAAATTAAAGCGAAAGCAGATGAGATTCGAGGTAGGTGTTCCGATGCTTTTTACGATAACTTATTATTCGTCTAGCTCTTAGTGCGCTAGAATTCTAATTTAGGTAAGTTAAATACGTCACTTTGCACCATATCTGATTGAGTGCATCTGGGTAGCTTGTGCCAATATACAGAATTTTGAATGAGCTAATTCTGCGTAATTGGAATGACCGTTTCCTATGTTTTTGTCTATTCGATCATTACAGGGTATATACCCAATCTTCAAGGCTTTGAATTTTGTTTTACCTTTTTCTTGAGATTGCTGCTTTAGAGATACGATTTGCGCTGTGTTATTTTGATAGACTGTATGTACCTCCTAGGTAGAGGATAGTTGCGATGCTTTCGTTCGTTGTCATAGCAACGAGAGACCAAGCCTAGACCATGCTGATGTAGCCAAAAATCACGAAACATGTGTCCATGGTTTTCTGTCCTTTTGTCGGACGGACGAAAGCATCATGTTCAGTTAACACGTTCAACAAAATATATGCAATGACATTATATATTTGTTAGCACAGAAAAACGCTAAAGATAAAAAACTCACCTGCGTTTCATCAGATATATTGTCACTCTCATTGTACACAGGTCCTTCAGTACTTGGTCTACCTCTTGCCCTTCCTCTTGTAGTCCTAACTTCCTCTTCCGGTAAAGGAGTGGTGTTCAGATTTCGACTCCTTAGAAAAATACATTATGGATCAAGAACAATAAATGATATGGAAAATGTCTATAATCGTAAGCATTTACTGACTTGATAACCTTCTGTGTAAAAAAAATTATCAACTCGATCAGTTATAGCTTCGATTTCAAAAACGGTATTGTCTAAGAGATTATCATTATGTATCATTAAATCCTCAAGTGTAACGTACGATCTTCTGAATTTAAACTTGGTGAACATTCGCTATTGACCTCAAAGAATTATATTAATAGCATTATTACGTATATGTTCTACTGGTCAATAGTTATCTGAGTTACAGCCTCAACAGAATTTCCCATGACTACCTTGGAGGGAACCTTGTATTTGCAGGTAATCGTTCCTCATTAACGGTTTCTTCTTCGCCTAGTTGTCGACCCCTTGTCTTGGAACCGCGAGGTACAATTTCGTTAGCTTCTGGAGTTGCTTTTTCAGCAGATATCTGATTTTTTGCTGGACCATCGTGGCCATTTACTATCTGCAAGAGGAAATCAAGAATAATAAAATAGAGAAAAGCTGTGAGGGAGAAGAGTAATTTTTTTCATTCAAATTTTGGAAAGATATACATATTTCTCATATTCCGTGATAAGAAGATATTTTGTCCGCAAAGCTTGTTTTTTGAACAATATTTGTCACGATATTCTTACGAATAACAAAATAAATGAAGTAGGAAACGCACAATAAAGCAATGTCGCTCTAACACACTGTACAGTAGCTGCAAAAATAAATTAACTGACTGCTGGAAGACAGACACAAAATATATTGTCATTGTCATTTCTGATTTGAACTTTGATAACGGCCAACGAAGTGGCCGAAACGTTAGTAAAAAGTTAATCCTACATATATGGTTTCATTCAACGGACAGAAAACATGGATATTTGTCAGCATCATCATAGAAAAGTTGTAACTATTTCATTATCATTTTGCATTCTGCAGTGTTTCATTGTGAATCCTATCCAACAAATTGTACTATTAGATAGCATGATAATAGAGCTTCACCAATCATCTACAAGAATGTTGAAAACGTTAGAACGGGTTTCAACAATTCCATCAAATAACACAGAAGGTTGTTTAATGTACCCACCTTATTTTTGTCTTTGCCATCATCCTCATCATCATAATAGTAGTAAACGTACTCGTATTCATACTCCTGTCCATTGGGTCCTTTCTTGATCTGAATCCTGGATCTTTGTTTTCCACTGGGTGCCTCAATTAATCCCTCATCATCTTCTTTCCTCGAATTCGGCTTTCCAGTAGTCAGGACCGGTCTGGGGCTTGTTACAGAAGCCTTGTCTACTCTGGCTTCTTTCTTCACACGAGCCTTGGTTGTGGTGCGACGTCTTGAAATTCTTGTTGTTGTTGTTCTTGGTTTAGCGGTAGAGGTAGGAGTTTTTAGCTCAGTTTGGTACCTAACAATCACGATTTTATTTGATTTATGCAGGGTGACCAGCAATCCAGTTTCACAAAAAAAAATCATGCTGGACAATTTGCGGTAAATGAACCCTCATTGACTGGGGATCAAAAAATTTTTGTTTTTTTTTTAAATGTCTATAAAATAGTATTATAATTTACCCATACTTTCTGCTGGCTACTAATAATTTTGAGTAATTGTAGTAGATAGTTCAGGTGGTATAAGATGCTTCCCATGTTATCTTTGCTAATAAAGAACTGACTAAGGAATTGTCCATAAAATCACCCCTTAAATGGTTGACACCTAAAGACTAAAAAGTTATTGAAACAAATTTGTATCGCGCCGCTGTCAAGCAATATAATCTGACGTTTTATAATATAATGCTGAATGCGGCAGTGGCTATCTTATTAGATAGTAAGCAGAAGTTTCAGTCTGATTAAAAAAAAAACGGTATACCTTAGTAGAGAGTCGTTTCGTATAAAACGTGAATCCACTTTTATAAAAGACCAGAGTGCTTTGATGAGTTATATCGTGTAGATTCTGAATATTTCCCATTGGAAAACGGATACTCACTTTGCCAATAGTTTTTTGACATCTAATTTGATCGCTCCAGCTGGTGCCGGTGCCTGTCTTTTATGCACCTTCTTTCCCTTTCCTTTGACTTCTTCGCAGTCGTCCTCCGATAACGCGAAGGTCAGCTTGGAAGGCACTTTGTGAGCAGTTTCGAAAGGTCCTCCACCTCCTGCCGCCGTTTCAGTCTTGTCCTTACGCGCTACAGGCCTAGCTCCTGCTCCAGAGGACTGCACAAATACGAATTCCTGGCCTGGTTCAGGCGCTATTACCAGCGAGCCCTTGGTATGGTATTTTTTGGATTCTGATGAAGGCAGTGCCAGAAAGGTGGGTAATAAGATGGCGATGAGGAGTCTGAAACAAAATATGATTACTTAAATATCGATAATTTCAAGGTATTCTTTTTAAAATTGCCTACTATCGTTGTGCCATATACACATTCCGGCTCACGTGTACAGTTAGGAAGGTCAGACATACCTGTCACGTATACTTTAGCATGTGTGGCTAGCTTTGCAAAGGCATGTCAATATCGGGGCGGCAAGGAATCTATTCACGGTCCATCAAAGCCGGTGTCCCTCAGGGTTCGGTTCTTGGACCAGTCCTTTATTCACTTTCTATTCATGACGTCCCTTGCCCCAGCAACTGTGAAATCTATCTCTATGCTGATGACACTGCCCTGGTGGCCCAGTCGTGTTCTAGGGATCTAGTTCACGACAGGCTGCAAAGTGCAGTGGACGAGGTATTGGAATGGGTGGCTAATCAAAATTAATCATTCGAAAACGCAGGCAATCTATTGTACTAAAAAACCTAGCGGCGCCCCGTCTGAGGTTTCAGTGAATGGAGCTCGGGTACCATGGGAAAGCTATGCTAAGTATGTCGGTGTCACTCTTGACAAGGGGATGACCTGGCAGAAGCACTCTGAAGCGTTGAAAACTAAATTTCAAATCTCGTTTCGGCAACTCTACCCGATGCTATGTAGAACATCAAAATTAGGTTTGATCAACAAAGTTCGACTATATAAGATGTTTATTAGACCAGCGACCACTTACGCAAGCGCGGCTTGGTGTTTTCTCGCCAAAACGCATTTGCGTAGCCTGCAGGTTTTGCAGAACAAAACCTTGCGTACAATCACTAATGGCCCATGGTATGTCTCCTACGAGACCCTTCACAGAGACCTTGACATCCCTGAACAAAATTAAATCGTCAGACTGTAGGTCCAACCAAAATTATAATTTTTCTTCAACAACAATCTCAAAATTGACGCACTCCTTTTTTCTTTGCCCCGACTCCTTCTTTCCATTCTTACCTTCTTTCTCCCTGACTTTGTTTGGTATCTGGGCAACCAGGCTTGACAGACCTACTGACTTCCAAGACTTTAACCAAGAGCAAAGGTCCTACGGACCGCTCTGACATACAATGATTTTTACTGTTTGTGAAAGCTTCGAAACCGAACGATTCACAGTCGCACTCAACCGTATGGCAAACGATTTGAGTCTTGTTCAAACATTACTACAAACTCCGTCTCCATTGGTAATGACCAAAAGAGCTTGCGTGGAATTTTCGTTCAGTGCGCACTGAATTCGTTTTTAGGTACGAAGAAATTGAAGAATGACAAAAACTACTAATCAATTGTATAACCTCGTCGTAGGCCACTAAATCTAAAATACGATTTGGTTGAAAAGGTGGCCCACAATGTTTAGCTAGTGGGTTTAAAGTGTCGGTGGTATACAGGGTGGCCCATCTATGCCTGGACAGAATATTACTCATAAACAAATACATTTTGGGAAAATCTGTTTATTGGATATTATACATGACATTTGAGGGCATATAAATTTTATTGCATATTTGGATAAACCACATCAAAAGAAGAAGATTGATATAACATACTATGGGGTTTTGGTAATTAGCTACTGAGATGTAAGGTGTTTTGTCCAGAAAAACCGTCCACTTCGGCAAGCCCTCAATCCGCCATTTTGAAATTTGGAGTGATGAATTTTGTCTCAAAAAAAACTTACATACCTCAGCTTTTAGATTATTTGTTACTATTTGGAATTTTCATTTTTGCTCATACAGGGTGGTCAAAAACGCGAATTGTACTTTTTCTCAAAACTTTCGAATGCATCACCCTGTATGTTTTTGCAAGTTTGGATTCAATTTTTTATAAGCTTCGCCCAAAACGAACACCATATTTACCATTTCTTCTTTAGAAAAATTCATTTTCGAATACGTTTTTATTAAAATGTTCACAAAGCTAATTTTGCCAGTTTGTAACTAATCAACAAATTATTTGTTTCTAAGGATGATGCGATATTTTAAGAAATTAAGCCGTTCCATAAAGGACGTGCATTTGAAATTTTTGGGAACAACTGCAATTTGCGTTTTTGACCACCCTGTATGAGCAAAAATTATAATTTGAAACAGTAACAAATAAGATAAAAGCTCCAAAATGGCGGAATGAAGGGTTGCCGAAGTGGGGGGTTTTTCTAGACAAAACAACTTATATCTCAGTGGCTAATTACCAAAACCCCATCAATTTTCGTCTTTTGAATTGGTTTATCCAAATATGTAATAAAATTTGAGGCATTCGATTTGAAAAATTACAACTTTGATATGTGGGTCGAAATTGGGATGCGCTGTATAATGGCCAACATTTTAGAAATGTTCCCTCAAATGTAATAAATAGATTTTCCTAAAATGTATTTGTTTATGAGTAATATTTCGTCCACACATGGATAGGCCACTCTGTATAAATTGGATTAAATTGTTTATTTATCCCTAAGGTTATCCAATAATGTAGGATAATACTACTTTTCCCAAAACATACATATAACTTGCTATGTATGTCCTATAAGAATCAGATCTCCAATATGAGTAAGAATACCCGGGCATAATAAGGATAACATATTATTTATTTAAGAATAAGAAAAAGTTAAATACTTTAGTTAAATGGTGTAAATAGATGAAATGAAAACATAAAATTCAGACATATAAAATTCGTCACATTTAAATTAATAAGTTACACATGAACAACATGCCTCGCGTATGTACACATTATATCATACAATATAAACATACAAATAGCACAAGATGAAAGATATCTAAAATATAAGGGCACTTATCAATAAGCTGTTGCTCAGTATCAATTTATAAAAACAGCTTATGTTCGATATTGGGTGAACAATCACGAGAGCTTATCTTCTCATCGCAATATCTATTAAAACGAATAGATTTTCTATTTGAAAGAGAGAAAGTGTGTTTGGTCTGAAGTGTAAAAATCAGAGAACCTTGAATCATATGGCTTGCAAATAAATCATCACCACTGCTGCATTAAGCTCTGCAGTATTTGTATAGTACAAAACACACCTCGAGCGTAATAATGATGTCCATAACACTGATGTTTTGAAATAGCAATAACTGAAATAATTCAATGAAACATTTAGCAGCTGCTGCGACTTATTACTGTCGTCTAGTGGAATTTATAAAAGAGCATAATGCTGTAAACATTCAGTTTGTTTTACATAGATCTTTTATACAAAGTGATGAAATGGAAGAGAAGCAGTGTAACAATGCTTGAAGATGACACATGTCTTTATTTGAAAAACATTATTTTCAACACACCGACAGTTTTCAGCACATCTTATGTATTCGGAAGTGTCCTAGACCTCTCAAACGAGCATGTTGGTTGTTCAGCTTGCATTTAGTGTACTTTGGAATCGTTCAATCATCGATAATCCGTTCGATACACCAATGACAGTTAGTTAGACACACCTCCCGGATTCCGCGTTAAATACCGTTGTTTTATTTGCATACTTACAGAGAGTGCAAAAGATAAATATGAATGTTCTTAAAATGGTGCGCGTAGTTATATACGCAAGTTCAGGTTTCAGTGCAGGTTTCACGCAGAATTGAAAAACACTGCAGTGAGTATTATAACTTTTTGCTACTCAACTAAATACAGTACTTTACAAAACATTCCGCCCTCTTACTTAACCTGGTTAACGGGTTGAGTTAGCAAGCTGAAATTAGGAGTAATGAAATTATTGTTTTGGAATTGTTTTAGGGTAAAAGTAGCAGGTGAAAGCATTGAGATGGCAGCTGGGCGCCAATTTGGAACATTTTTCAAATATAGTGAGGGATCGTGTTATACCTTATTTTTAATCTCATTATGGGAACTGCATAACCTTGAACTTTAAAGTCACTATTTTTCAAGGTGATGATCTGACAGCCTGTCAAAGTTTAGCGTTTTCGGTTATAACTTAACAGTTATCATGAAAACATATGTTATATCATTCTTCTACTCAGGATGGCGCCCATTCGCTATCTTGAGATTTGCAATTATTATTGTTTTGTAATATAGTATTCATGCGTCAGTTTCATCATCCCGAATTCCAGCTCTCTGATTTGATCTATTCAAAAATTAAGTAGCGAGAGCGGCTTTTTGAAAAACAATGTATATCTGATCTTCGTCCAAATACCAACCACTAAACGGTTTCATTTTAAGCTGACATAAAATGTCATATGAAAATGGTGTAAAGAAAAAGAGCGGATTGTTCAGATATTAGTCCCTCGGAAATGAGTTTGAATGGCAGCTTTAGATTTAATCCAAAACTGGAGATGACTGGTTAAGGTTCCAAAATCCTAATCGTCTTCAGAGAACGGTTCAAATTATTAATAGTAATAATAGTAATGATAACAGTAATTATTATTATTATTAAATAAAACGGCAAGGGGAGCTGTCCACCAAGATCTGGAGATAATATCAAAAATCATGAATGTGCAACCACTTCAAACAGCAGCAATATATGGTGCCCCACATATCATAAGAAAAACTTTAGGCTGATTCTCGACCCTAGAGATGTGGTACATCCCCAGTTAGACAAGTATCTTTCGTCTTATATCTCAGATAGGGATATCTACATCCAGAAACAGAAGGCCATATAAATACAATCCAAGATAAATGTATCCGTACAATTATGAGACACACATATTACTCGTATAAACAAATATTGCGGATCATTGTCGTAGATGCGACTGCATAGGCAAAACAATCGGGCACGGAACAGCCGGATGCTCTAGTCTAGCAAACGATGTCTACTTAGGCATCATACTGTTACAGCCATTGTTCGTCAGAAAATAGGTATGATAAGTGCGCTCTTGGTAAAGGCTAATTATAAATACGTACCCTCCGGTGTCATGGAAAACGATACGTCACTGCTCTGTTGGGTTCGCCCAATCATAACAGATAGGCGCATACAATGCCACAAGCCCGACATCCTATACATAAACAAAAAGGAGATGTCTGATCTGATAATAGATATAGCACTTCCCCTTACTGTTAACCTAAAAAACCGATG